ATTCTTCAATTGGTATATTTATTTTACCTTTCCAATTCTTCGCTATCAGTAATCTTGCTGCAGTTAACATGTTACCTATTGCATCTTTCTCTGTTTTTTTCACTTTCTTAACATTATATAGTGACAACAATTTATTTATTTATTTATTTATTTACTTACTTATTTATTTACTTTGCTTATAGACCGCTGTTCTCAGCCCGAGGGCAACAGCAATGCTTTCACTTTTCCCTATCTTCATAACCATTATAGCTTCTATCTCTCCAAATACCTTCCCCCAAAATTCATTTACGTATTTACATTGCCACCACATATGCATATATGTACCCACCTCCTGGCAACCTCGCCAACAATTTTTTTGTGGCATTCCTATTAATATTTGCAATTTTCACTGGTGTTAAGTACCATTTCCAAACCAATTTATAATAATTTTCTTTTAACACGTATCGATAATTTAAAAAAATATCTTTGATCCCATAATTGTACCCAATCCGCTTCTTTTATTCTAATCCCTAGGTCTTCCTCCCATATCTTTCTTAGTGTTGTGTCCTTTATTCCCCCCCCCCTTAATATCAATTATTATCTTATACAATTTGCTAGTTATTCTTTTCATCTTGTGGTATCCTCCCGTCGCTCTTACTTTTTGTATCATTTGTTCAACTTGCGTAAGTTTGCCTCCTTCCCCATTATTTTCTATCCAATTCTTGAACCATTGCAGTCTAACTGTAAGCAATGGAACCATGAGAGTTTAATATCTCTAAATTCTCTCAATATCGTTTCCTTCCTCATGTTTGCTTTTATCTCTCTTAATTTTTTTAAATGAAGGCTTATATATCCTGAGAAGCACTTTAATTACCCGTTGGGTCGTTCTCTACTTTTGGTTTAAAACCCTCCTGCTCGATACACCCTCCGTTCATGTCCAGCATTTATTTTAAAGTTTTAACTATTATATCTGGCCCGGTCATAGGTTTTTAAATAATTGTGTGTTACTGTCTATGTGTGAGCTATACTAATTGTATTGTTTATTTTGGTTATTGCTTATTGTTTTTATTGATGTGTTTATTTATTTATTTATTTATTTATTTAATACACTTGTATACCGCTAATATCTCAGCCTGGATCGGCGACT